TGGTTTATCCTACATCTTCACTTTGTGAAGGATCGATATTTGTCAAGTTTCCAAAATACGGAACTCGACTTTTGGCCCTTTGTATTAAAAAATTTCAATAGAAGAACATTACGTTTTAGCCCTTCCACGGGTGCTCTGCATAATCTATGCATAATTAAGCTGTAAACTCAATCCTTAATTCTCACTAAAGTGCTGGAGAATTTGTTTATTGAAACAGGTAAGCGTGGAGATTTAGTCCAGAGATCGTCTTTCATTACTTCGTTAAACTTTTTAAGGATCGTTCAAATTCTCTCCTGCTGGTTCTTCAAAATATGACGATGTTATTTAGAAAACCAAGGTTTCGTAAGAAGTTTCACTTTCTGTATGTGGCTTTTTTCCGCGATGTCGAGCAATTTCATTATCCATTGCTACGAGACAATGAGCTGAAAATCCGTTATGCCGTTACTCATTAAGAATGGTGGAGCTTCTGTATTCCTCTTCAGTGTCCTTTGCTCCTCTGACGTTGAAGCCTTCGAAGACGATACAAAAACTTTTCGTTGGGGATCTTTTTTTCTACTCTGTAAATAAACATGTCAAATTGGTATTTATCGGCTAAGCCTGTCGCAGAGTTATCTGTGATCGGTCGTTAACTTAAAGTAGTAAAACGCCAGAGATTTTCATGCGAGTCCGTATGATTAACAGTCAGGTCACCCATCATTTATCATGAAAATAATTGTATTAACTTTGGCGAAAGTAAAATATCTCCAAAAGGTTTCTTGTTCCATTTGTTTTTTATCTGATGTGGTGAAGTCCTATTTTTAAAGGTTCCGATTAGTTGATATCTCTATGGCTCTACATATTGTTACTTACTTTGTTACCTGGACGGCCCGTCTCCACTTATTTCACGGGTCTCGGCATATTTTTTATTTTTTCAGAATTTTGCTCGTTTAACCACCGTGGTTCCCTGATGTCCCGAGGTCAGTCTGGCCAAAGATTGCCCCAGCTCATCGCCACTACAGGCAGTCGCCGCCCTTGTGGATTAGAGGGGATTTGCCACCATGCTACTAATTTGATACCAAGACAGTGGTGGATCCTGGTACTGAATTGCATTTAGCTGGGCTTTCTGATGGTAATTCAGGACTCCTCAGCTTGGGACCCTGCTGAGGGATGAATGCCTCGAAGCCCGACACCCAGGAACACCTGACAGCTGCGATGAGGCGGTGAACCATTGGGAGGATTTGGACTACATATTGCTATATTTCTTGAAATATGTCTATTTCATTAAGATGGAATTAGTACGGTAAAAATTTCAGGAAGATCGAGAGGTGTTATCATCCATACGAGCTGGGCGTGTCCGGACTGTAAACGTTGCTCTTCATTCCTCTTGTTGAGTCGTAATGACCTCATTGTTTAGTTTAGTATTTTCACTTTATCTCAACATGTACTCTGCTATGAAACTGTTGTTATTCTGTTTTTCATTGACTTTGATTCCTACACTGCACTCATTGAATTAGCTGCCTTTAAACTTTGTGCCTTTTGCTCAAATGTTCGGGTTCCATACTTAAAATGTACGGTGCACGACATATCATCACGTTCACTTTAATTTCTATTAGTTTTAATATAAAGAGATTTCATCTCTACGACAGTTCTCTTCATATTTTATAGTTTGTACCTGCTGGGAATGCGGTTGCACCAAAAATAGCCGCATAGATTTCCGGATAGCTAGGTTTTTGGTGCAGTCCCACGATTGCTTTTTCGCATGTTTTATTTTCCTCTTGAGATTGAATGGCGTTTCATCTAAGATATTCACCAGTCTTCTGCAGTCACTGTTTACGTTGTTTATTTTAGTTGTTCAACGAATAATAATTTAACGAAGCAACTTTGTCGCTATACTTTCTTGTGTTGCATTTGGTTTCTGTTCCATCCCATGGTAAAGATATTGCATTCATTTATTATAGCAATAGTACTAGTAATGCTGGGTTCATGAAGTTAACGAGGGTTTTTGGATTTATGAGGTTTTCGGGGCATAGCTTGGTAGCCTTTTTGGAGGATTATTACACAATTTTTAAGTTGTTTAATAAATTTAAAGAAAGTGGCATATAGGTGGGATGAATTGAGATAAGGTTAAAGTTTCTGGCTTCTTTTCTAAAATGAGAACTAAGAGGAAACTGCCTGGTAATTGATTGAGTAGTTAAGTACTTAGTACACATATGGTTTGATGACTTTGTCGCGAAAAGCATACAAAAAGGGGGATAGCTAAATCAGACACGGAGTCAGTTGTGGTGGTACAAGTGTAAAGTAGACCAGCGCTAACCTACAGGCGAAAAGATATGGTTCGTTCATGTTCATTGTTTGTCCGGAATTATGACTCGTCTGGATGCGTGACTGAGTTTCGATGTTTGTAGTTGTTTTGTTAAACAATTCGTTGAAGGCGGGATGTTTATGGGTGGGTACGGATCGATTCGCAGCACCCGTGCGTAGTGTTCGGGAGTTTAGTTGTGCTTGATGTGGTCGCTAATTCCTACTGTTTCCTCTTTCGCTAGTAAACCCCAGCTAACTTAATTGAATATAGTTTAAATACCGGAAAAATTTCGTGATTTTAGGTAATGATAGTGAAAAATGATACGGTACTTACAGGTGGCTCATCGATTTCAGGTGAGTGAAATGGTGTAGGTCGTCTTTCTACCTTATCATATTGGTTAAGCAGGGGCAATAGATGTAGGATTATTTTGCTTACGAAACTGATTTGTTCGAGAGACTTATGAATTTACAGCTGTGCAACAAACTTTCTTACTGCAGTATAACCGATCAGTATGGTTTTTGATCACTTTGGATCCTTTTTTTCCTTATTTTCATCCAGGTGCTGTCCCTCACACAATGAGCTGCATAGAAATTCGCCACGGCTTCTGTGAAGAGCCGAACAAGCGGCTTTTATATCACTGCTCATTGCTTAAATGTGAAGCTAACTTTCTCAGCTTATTTAGAGTAGTTTAGGTGTTTTCGTTAGCTGTTATGATACTCTGGAACATTGCCTTCGTTCATGTTATATGAGCTGTTACATCACTGATTACTGCAATGACATGCCTAGTACAGTGGCTTGTGCACCCGCATTAACATCGTAAGTTTATCATTGTAAACCGACCTTCACTTAACCTCGGTATAAATGATCAATGCACCTAGTTCCATTGATAAGCTAGGACGAAGTTATTACCAATATTATTATTATTACCAATATTATTATTATTATTATTATATTATAATATTATTACCAATACCAATATTCGGCCAACGTTTCGACGTCTTCTTCTTCCTCAGTGCCGATCATCCGAGGCGATGTCTGCAGTTGTTCGTCTTCTCGATGTGGTGATTGTCTTTGACGACACCAGCTGTGGACATCGAGTCGGGATCATCCTCTCTGAAGAAGACAAAGACGTCTAACGTTAGCCGAATAAATATTGGTAACAAACTCGTGTTAGTGTATCAACGAAACAGGACACATTGTAAGTTTAGTCATTGATTTAGAGGAATACGTACGGTGTTGTTAACTCCTGGTAAAATTACCCGAAAGGCATCGCTTATTAGACTGAACACCTTTTATTGTTCATCCGACCAATATATTTAGTAGAAATTTCTCATTGTATCCACACTATCCGCTCCCAGATTGGATGATAATTTGACAGTTTTTATCTTTCGAGTCGGGTTCCTACCTTAGCTGGTTGATGTACTTCTGTTCCGTTTTCATAAACTCAAAATGTTTCCCATTGCTCTACGGTATTTTGGTACCAAACGCTTTATAAACATTGAGCCTCATTCGCCTTATCCACTTTATACTTATGTTTTACGAATTCCTACTAGTTCCTTGTTAACTCATCTATACATGTCCTATGGATGGGCTCCACCAATCCTTTTGTTCGAATGTTCTTTTTGAAATGTAGAATGGACCTGGTTGGATTTATGTATGTGAGTTCGCTTTGAGTTTAATAATCGGCTATCTTCTCTTTCCACACTATGGATGTATTTTGGCTGCGGAAATCCCTCTGTCTTTTACAGAAGGTTTTAACTGATGGTAACTACTTGTAATAAGAGAGAAGCAATCGATGTCCTTGTTGGTATTCTAAATTTGATGGTACGCTAGGAATTTACCCCAGTAACTACAAAAGTTCTCTGTGGCAAAATATGCTGTCCAGTAGTTTGCAGTGGATAATGGTGGTGTTTTTGTGTTATAAATTAGGGCTGCATGAAGGCTGTTTTTGTATCATGGTTGGATAAAAAAAGTGTAAAGCTGTCGGCATTGGTCTACTTCTGAGGAATGCACCATGCATTGGATTTCATTAAGCGTCGTTGGTGGTAATTGAATGCATATCTGGCCTTTACATTGACTCGCGGTGACCTGCCGTTGTATCGAGCCAGTACTGATATCCTCGCAGACAAGTTTGCTACCAATTTGCCGAGCTCGGAGGAAGGTAAGGCTTGGTGTCTGAAGCGCGGGGATCGATTCCATGTGCATTGCAGTGCGCCTCCAACCACTGCACTACACGCGCCCATATCATATTAGAGCAACAGGAATTCGTAAACGTGTGCATGAATCTGAAACTGTGCTGATAACTCTAACTCTTTAGTCTTTCTACTTAGTCCATATGTTACGTATTTGTTTATGTGTGTATGGGTATCATTGATGTTCACGTTTTAGACAGGTGAAGTCATCATTGGTTGTGTTTGTTAGAATTCATTACAAATTAATATATGCAGGTACCGGAACTAGGCCAGTGTCTGCTTGCTTGCTCTGGAAGTGAGCGGGACAAGCGAAATGAACTTCTTCCAAATTCTTGTTCTATTCATTCTCCGCCTAATTACCTTAGGGACGACACGCCTAGTCAAACAAATATCGTCCGTACAAGCGCTGTGGTGCCTCGAGCACCGTTGGGCAAGCATTGCTTAGAGCGCTGGCCGTATCGATCGTCGTTGGTCTCGTCATTGCCGTCTCAGGGCTTATAACCTATGTAGAAACGGTGTAGTTAGCTATGAACGATGAGAAATCATTATGGGAATGTATCTTGTTTCTTGATTGGATGGGTATTATTGAATGGATTTACGATCGTCTACCGTTTGAAGTCAAATCTTCCATATGGTAAATGTGTTCTTATTTAATTTAGCAAAGTTCTTTCTCATAATTTGCATTCTTTGAAATCAGTCGTACTGTCTGATAGAGTTAGATTTCAGGATGATCGTATTAACATTACTATTTGTGGTTACATTATGCGGATGTTGTTGTGTGATTTGCTTCTGTTCGCCGTGCTGTCTTTTAGCCGTGTGGTACAAAAAGCGGCGATCGCGTCAAAATCGTGGAGTCGAGTTTAGCACGTATCCATCAGCGCCACCATTACTTTCAAAAGCGTAGCTATATTTATTTGTCGTTCTCCTAAAATTTGCAGTAATCATTTGCTTTAACTATTTCGTTAACCGATGTGATAGTTCGCAAGTGTGTTCACTGTAATCGGTCTTAGTAATCGAGTAACTGGCGCATACATAAAATCATTATTTGTCTTTCTCTTCGAGAGAACGTAACCATGGACAACAGAATAGTCTCCTTAGTAGAATAGCTGGGCTTGTCTGGACGCAAATATCATTCACGCTCCTTGCCAACTTGTGTAAGGTTTTTTGGGTGGGTGGTCCCCTTACGTGTCACCAAATCGGTCACTAATTGTAATACCTTGTTAAGGTTGCTTATGTATTATAGGTTGTATAAGGAAGAATTTGTTATTGTGGTAAATTTTTGTTGTTTACTGAACGACTCCCATATGTTTCTGAAATGTAGGTGAGTTCCATGAATGAATCATTGTTATTTTTATTTATTCGAAATGAACTTTCGAATATAGTTGGATCTCTCCGACTTCATCGCCGATTTGTTTCACGTATACACCGAATGTTATCTGAAAGAAGCAATTAAAAACCGAAAATGACGGAAATATCAGTAGTTTTTTCATGTGCCTAATTCTAATGCTACACATTGTGCGGATCTCAGCAGTTCTATTCGATTTATTTCCGCGCGCTTATGATCCACGAACGTACGCGGATTTTGCGTCTGCGTTGAGCTGCTGCGGCGTTTCTCGTGTTTTTCATAACTGCTGAATACTGATCGAATCGATTCTCTCTGGAGTAGCTGAATAGCCACGTTAGTGCATTTCTGAGTCCTGTTTATTGTTGACAGTTTTTTAGACAAGACTTTACCAATTTCTCGACTTTTCCCAACTACGTAGATGGTGAATGGCTTCGTTCGCTCGGTGTGGTGTCGAGCCAGGATCTTAAGAGTGCTACACGCCATCACTACCTATGCCTGGATAGCAGAACTAATAATATTTTCAACATCGATAAATGACCGAAACAGAAATATTGGCGCTGCTGCTAATAAAAATGACAATAATAGTTTTAATATTGGCGCCAGAAGTCCAACAGCTAGAATGCCGTGCAATAGACCTATAGTCGCTCGTCTGGCCCACTCTAGGTTAGGAAAATCTCATGCCTTTCCGAGCTCGACATGCTGATATCGGACTTACCTAAGAAAATCTTCCTGCTGAGATTCTCACAATATGGGATGCTGGGTCACGATAATGTTACTTTTCAAACAAGGTCACATAAAACGTATTTACGACTATTAATCGTAGTAGATAGTGACATAATGTTGATGGAACTTCTGTTATCTTCGTCTCACCAGACCATAAAGATCGGGTTTTTTGTGTTTGAAGAACAAAAATAACTGTTAGCTAGTATTGGAGATGCTTCCGACCTACCTTCTTTCGTTGGCGTAAATCTCTGAGTGCAACGATAAGTTGTGGTTCTTTTAAGCCGGTCGCTGGATTAACACATATCATTTCACATCGTGTACATTTCTTTGTAACCTGTAAATTGCATTAATACTCTAGTTATTCGACGTAATATCCGTCCTAAAGTACTTTACAATAACATTTTAAGCCTCGTACATTTTATTCACGAGTGAGAAATTAGTAGAAGCTCTGCAAATTTAATTAAGAAGAATATTAAAAGTGAGGTTCAAACACCGATAGCTTCAAGACTTTTACTTTCTTTCTGACTTGATCTCTTAAATAGTACACCGCCTTACTTTGCCGATGTACTCTTCCTTGGCATCGAACTATGATGCACGGCTGGAAGCTCGTCTTATGACAAGGTCGCCTAAGTTGAGAAGGGCCTCAATATTTTCACCTGTATACCTAACTGAAATCTGCTGGAAATCGTCACCATTCTGGAGCAAACCTAGTCATAAAATTCGAAACTTCCATTGGAACGATGACCGCGAAACTCAAACACAAATCTATGTTTTGCCAGAGGAAAGAAAACCACCTAAGCATCAAAATACAGGTCAAATAGCAGATGGACTGAGGCCTTGAGGATTTATCTGGATGAACCATCCGAATTTCCAACTAAACCATCGCGACGCTAGTTTTACTGTTTGGTAATGAAGCAGAATAAATGAAGCGCGGTTTACTAGTATATTTTTTAAAAAACAGTCTTTCAAGAACACATAACAAAACTAGTCTGCGCTGGGGAACGAGCGCGCCATTACCCTTTACCGAGACTAACGCGTTCACCACCACACCATCCAGGTCCTTCGTCTCGCTTGTTTCTCAAGTCAGTCCTGCTAACGAGTGATTACTGATGGCACTGATCGATAGTACTAGCTGAGAGACAAGCAAAACGAAAGACCCGAATGCTATGGTGGTGAACGCATTAGCACCCGGACAGGGTAATAGTGCGTTCGTTCCCCACCGCAGACACATGCGGTGCGGAGTGTTGAGAATAACTTAGCATCCTTTTGGTTGTATTTCGCATAATACCGTGCCGTGAAAAATTATAAAAGGCAGCGATTAAAAATTAAAAACAAAACTAGTTTTGGCAAAGGACAATTCTGCCTCTGAAACCCAATTGTCTGGAGTTACAATCTCTGGAGAAAATGTGATGTAAAAGATCAGGGACTTCATAATACCGTCGATGGTCAAACAAATGCTTACACATAGTGAGGATCATCGTGCTGTAAAAGACTTATTTCTTTCTTATTTGATTTCAAACGAGGAATTTTATTGGTGTGAGCTTATTGGCATGCTGCTCTTAGCTGTTTTACAATATTGGAAACCTGCGTGCATGGATGGACTACGACGAGAAGACGAGAAGAGCATAATGGCTGTTTGAGTCATTTCATTACACAGTGAGGTGCGGGGAAGTTGAGACAAATGATAAACATTTTAAGTAAAGCGTAATGAAGATCGAGAACTAGGAGTATTCAAAAATACTCCGGACCGCAGGTGCCTGCGGTGGGGAACGAATTATCCTTTCCGGGGAGTAACGCGTTGACCATCACACCATGTGGATCCTTCGTTTCGCCTGTCTCTCAGCTAGTTCTCTATCGATCAGTGCCATCAGCAATCACCTGTCAACGGGATTGATTTGGATCGGCATGCCATGGATGCCAAATCGGCATTAAATCTAGTTAAGCTGAGGCTGTAATTGAAATCACAATGTTAACATTTTTCACGGCACTATGTGGAGTGCAGGAAAAATATTAGCGCATAACACTTTTCACAGAGTGAAATTTTGCTGGTTCGTCAGAAATAAAGACGGGATCCATTTAAAACAAAAAAAAAATAGGGAAACCCAGAGCTTGGTAGATAGCAAACCAGATGAAAGTCAAGCGAAACGAAGGACCTGCATGGTGTGGTGGTGAACGCGTCAGCTTCAGTAAAAGGTAATAACGCGTTCGTTCCCCACCGCAAATACATGCGGTCCGGAATTTTGTAAATATCTCAGCATCATTGGGGTTGTATTTCACATAGTACCCTGCCGTGAACAATTGTGATAGGTATGCAATAAAAAGTTAACATTTTGTTTTCACAGTAATTTTTGAAAAAAAGAACCTCGAAGCGAAAGTTGTCAATATAAATTATGCTTGCCGTATCCTCCATAAACGGAGGAATTCCTCTCACAACAATATTCGGACGAAATCGATCGATCGTTTCCGAAATGGACAATCCTAGAATAAAAGGTAAATGGAAATTTAGAACAGTAATTTATTGATGAGCCTATTTTTGGCAGTAGACATACACACGAAATTGTGCAGTGTCTACGATGGACGAACTGAATAGCATTCCACATAAAGTTCATGAAATGATTTCATTCTCACCTACAACATCTGCTAGAACCTTAATAGAAGCCTCATTTACGACAAGATACGGTGCTTCGTTGGACAAACTTCGTTCTGAATCTGAAAAACGTTATTTTAGCTTTCGATGTATAAGGTAGTTCACTGAAGTGACATTGGACACCTTTTTGAATACGGCGAAGTTTACATTTTGGTAGTCCTAAAAATGTGGAAATCCATTTCGAAGCGTCAGCTTCACATTCGGATGTTCGAACGCTAAAAATATTACTGTTCCCTTAAATTAGACTTCAATTCAATCAAACATTTCTACGCTATCATCGCCTCTTACAGAGTGCTGAAGTGTTGAATGCATCCGCTGAACTCAACGTAGTATTGAAAGTTAGTTGTGACACTGTTTACAATGCGAGCATCATCGTTGACATGTTTTTCACCATGTCTCTATTTATTTTTATCTATTTACTACACAGCTCGTCATATGCATCACAGTGTGAGGACCGCAACATTTCTTCCTTTCGATTCCTTTCCTCGAATCTACTATCCATAAAGGTCTTCCAATGTTTTCTTTATGTCTATTCGGTTCGTGCTTAAGGATTTCCTGTTTTTATCATGACGGTCGCTGAATACTGGTTGAGTCAAATCTCACTAGAGTCCTATGATAGCTGTACTGTGTCGTTCGCAAACTGATTAGAGGGAGTAGGCTTGTGCCAGACAAGCCAGATACCAATCCCCGACTCCGGAGCGATGGGATTCGTGGGTCTGGAGGAGAAAGGGGCGGGAGGCGAAACATCGTCTGGGTATATTGCTTTATCAACGTAATCAACGGGGTCACTACCATCGCGCGACCACCTCCCTTTAATCTAGGTCTGCCAAGTTAAGAAGGAATCCGACGTCTCCACCCGGAAGCCCAACTAAGAGTAGACCAATACCAGGAATCAACGCCGTCCTAGTATCCACTCAGCCTCAAAATGGCAAGTGGCCCTCAGATCTACACGGGCTGGCGATTGATTGTGGTGGGGACGGCCTTACGAGCGCTTCGGCTAGAGCAAGCGCGAGGCTCCAAAGAACCGCAATGGCTCAACCAGCATCCAGCCTTAGTATCCCGCAGACTGCGCTCTCCCGTCAATGGCATTAAGCGGTCAGACAGCCGTTGACAGGCTATCAAATTTTGAGTTGTAGAGGACATCATTGGAAATGGATAAAACGAGAACGGCCAGGGCAAAGCATGTAGTCTGCTTCTTGCTCTGCACCTAAACTACCAGAACAGTCTCGTTAAATGCCGATTTTTACACTTTTTTTGAGGCTGATGTTCATATGAAATTCCTTCCGATTGCCCTACAAGAGATAAAAAGCAAGAAGATCAACGTGCACCAATTATCAGGAAATGATAGCAAGCTGGTGAGAGCGAGCTGGACAGATTCTAGAGCCAGCAATAGGAAGTAATTTCGAAGAAAAATGCCTTATACAAGTTGTCGGAACTTCAAAGCCAGATCATGAAGAGCTGAAGAAAATAAATACAAAATAGAAAAAATTGGAGTAGGAGATCGAAATGAGAATGGGTACTGTCTATCAAGATTCTGGTCCACAGCACGCTTTCTCCATGGGAATTCGCGAGAAGAAAAAGGTTGCCGATGGGCATGGGAGTCTTCTAACTACACGACTCATAAAGGGATCTGCTGTATTCTTACAAACAGAAAATGGTGCCTATATACAACTCAGTGGCGTCTGGATTCTGCACTTAATCTGACCACCGTCTGTTCCGGTCAAAGATGCGTTCTAGCCATAAGTTGGAAAAGAAAATTGATGCCATCGTCCAAGAAGATAAAGACAAGTCATATGATATCTTAGCTTTTAATCTCATGTAAGTGGAGGTCTTCGCGCACACTTATCCTGCCCAAGAGAATGACTGAAACACTCTTCACAACTACTGTCCGATGTGCTAGTTGAGTGTACTCTACAAGTTCTTCGCAAGCTTGTCCTTTTGGATATATCAAAGACCTTTGATGAGGCACAATCAATTGTGCAAGCAGAGTTTCGGCAGGAATCCTGCTGCATGAGTCACATCCGAACTGCATCATAGATGTTATGGGTTATTGAAGTCTGTCGGGAGTATCATCTGCCTTTTTTCCTAAACATTATCTGCGATGAAAAAGCGTTTGACAGCGTGGAGACGAATGCAACCCTACCGGCACTCTTTCATGGAGGGGTGGACCAGCCTTGTACACGAAATCTGAACATTATCGAGAGTGTAGCACAAAAATACGTCCTTTACATCGATCTCGAGCTATTTTCCTAGAAAAAGTAGTTTAGTTCGACAGGGCGGTACCATGTCGCCAAAGCTGTTCACACCCGCAATGAACTGGATAGGCCCTCTCGACAGGAACGAGAAAGGCATGAGCGTTTGTGGAAAATTCCTCTCAAGCGTTCATTCTGCTGGTGAGATAGTCATCTTTTGGAAGAATATCATTGAAGCAGAGACTATCCTCGATGGTCTATCGATGTGGAGAAAGAGGCTGAACTGTGCATAAATAGGAAGAAGATGTAGTTCATGAAGAATCCAAGGTGCGAAGGTAAACAAATCGAAAGATAGGTACCACCTCGTAAATGCACCCTGCTGGTCCAGTAAAAATGCCGAACAGTATTACAGAGGAATTAGCCGGAAAAAGTAGAGCTGCATGGACTGCATTCTGGTTTCTCAAGGAAGCCACTGACCAAGCAACGGACCCAAAGCTCCACAATGACCTTTTAAACTGAACGTTCCCCCAACGCATTGTGATTCAGCAGAGATGTGGGCTGATACTTCAACCAAGTCAAGAACTCTGCGCAACACCTACAGAGCACTTGAACGATGTATTCCGAAATTTAAAAGGCATTAACAACGCCTCAGAATCCGAAGCTCTTACCTTCGAAATCTTTCTCATCTTCGAGATACAGAAAAGTATACACCGATATCGAAGTAAAAATGATCACATAATAAAGAAAACAGTTGACAGATTGACGCAAAGAATGGTGTAGCGGACTCCAAAACAATACATAAGCCTCACACATACATTTGAACATTGGGTGGACGTGTTAGTGACCTATGTTAATTTTCCTCTTTCGCAGATGGGAACGATTTCGGGATTACAGGACGGGCCTCGCCATTGTTATCGTGTTTGAAGTTCTTCACCTCCATGGGCGATGGTTTCGCGGGAAAAGAATGAATGAGGAATGTGCTGGAGCCATCGCTACCTATTAAGATAGCCCTTATTAGTACCTAAGTAGGTTAGTGTTTACAAATAGAATGGAATAACGCTACGTACTTATTTACACAGACAGCACCGTATTGAGAAAGTGCATTTTCGTTAAGTAGTGATACATTCACTGACGATCGTTTGTCGTTAACGTCGGACAGTGATAATATCGTACCTGACTCATCAACCTGCAACGCTGTACAAGATGTAAATCATGATGTCATAGGAACTGCCAACATTTTCTATGCAACTAACTGAGGAAACCCGCACAAACTTGACATCCCTTACTCACTATTATAGCCTTTGATTCACCCAGCTAAGTGTTTTAAGTTTTTTTTTTGAAATTTTATTGAGATTTGTTAATGAATGAACGTTTTCATACCGTTGTATAACAGGAACAACCCAGTATTTTTAACGAACTCACCGTCGTTTCAATTTTGCATAGTTTCTGGTGACGTTTCTGGGTCAGTGTTAAGCCACAGCACTCAATCATAAATATTCTATCGAAACGAAGACCAATTTTTGTCAAATAACTCCTAAAGCGTTGTTCTTAAAAAGATCGATTTAGTAAATTGTTTTCGTCTCCTGTATATTTGTACGACTTGGATCACCTGTAGTACCCCATGGACGAATACACTCATGGGAAAAAATTTCTACCATTATCTGTAAAATCTAGAAAGGTGCACACTTTTTACAACGGATTCCTCTGCAACTCTTCACCGGATAAACAATAAGACAAGAAATCACGGAAGAGTAGTCACTGTTTTTCATAGCTTGATCGAAATGAAATGACGACTGATTTCCGAGGAAGCAATAGTCAATCATCTGCTCCAAAGCAGCAACATCCTGAATTTTAAGGATGTTACGAATAATATGAAGAAACAATTTAACGTATTATTTACTGCTTATTCTTTTTAACGGCAGGGTATACATTATGAAATATAACTTCAATGATGCTGAGATATTTGCAAAACGCCGGACCGCAGGTGTATGCGGTGGTGAACGAACGCGCTATTGTGCTTACCGGGGAGTAGCGCACCACACCATGCGGGTCCGGAGTTTTGCAAATATCTCAGCATCGTTGAAGTTATGATGAAGAAAGTTTATTAGTTATCTATTTATTTGATGTCGAGTTGCCCGGAGTGGTAGCATGCCGAACCTCACGGGTAGATTGCCTCCCAAACGAAATCCTAACTGCTCCTGTTGGTCGACCGTCAATGATATCTCTTGAATCTCCACATTCTTTTCCGTTCTAAATTTAAAAACTTTTCAGATCATCGGCGATTTACGTCTTCAGTGAAATGATGGGATAATACCTCAAAAATTTGCAATAGTTGGTCATTTGTGAGGTCTAAGTACTTCTGACACGCACCAGAATTACAGAAGCATCCCGTTCGGAGATCGATACCAAAGAGATTGGCCATCTTCTCCACCTATGAAACGCATCAATACGTACTTACAGACGACAAATCAATCAGTAGCAAAAACTTCAAATATTGAGCACCAAAAGAAGATGGTGGGATATGAAGAGAGATCACCCACCTCTGCATAACCCGTATAACTGCCATCGCCACGAAGCAGATTAAAAGCAATAATTGGTCCTTGCATGATGACGTCATGCCATCCGTAAATTTTTACCGCCGATCTACCGTTCCAGTGGATTTTATGTGCCAGCATTTCATAAGCAACCATTGCTACCTTCTTGGTATTCCTGTTGATTTCCTGGATACCACCTGGCATGTACACTGTACTAAATATTTAATTACTGTTATATAATGATATCGATTGTTATTATTATCATTTTTTTACACATATTAATTTTCTGGATCTATTTCACATTTTACATGACCCAACATCACATCTACAGCTTTGATCTCTGCACCCATTCCATTTGATTGGCTTCCTCGCTTACGTTATCGACGAAAGTCTTCGGAGTTTTCGCTTCTAGGTAGGACTGCTGCTTAATGGCTGTCGTCTTCTCTATAAATGTGGTCGAAGGATGGTCGAGCTGCTTCTTTGTGGAGTCCTGGGAGTGCCGGCTATAGCACAACCTCTTGGGCTGCGCGGATTGAACTCCTCCCAGACAAGTCTAGTACCAACTTCCCATTCCCAGAGGGGAGGAAGAGTTGGTGAGTCTGGGGAGGGATGAAACCAGAATCGTGCTCTCACTACGCCACTTGCTCCCTCATATTGTAAAAAGTACAAGACATAAAGCATTTATAAAAAGAATAAGAGATAAAGCAGTTAGCACTGATCAATTCCTGGAATGTGTCATCCATTTAACTTCATCAACCATCGTAGAGGTGATTGGACGCTTGACAGTGACATGACCTGGTGTGCCCTACTGATGGTTTCTGTGCTCCTATGCCGAAAGAAAAACTGACAAATGGTGTTTTTACGTCGCAACAATGCTTTGCAACGTCATTGTGACTAGATGGTTTTCCTGGCTGACGATCTATGGGAGTTAATTCACCAAAAGATCTGGAGTCTGGCATTTCCAGCCAGTAGACCATCTTGGAATAAAACTGTGTTGTGACAGAGTCGGATAACATAACTGTTATTGTTCCCAGGATCGACTTTCTATTAATCGCGGCATTGGAATATGAATGCGTCGTTTTCTTGTTCAGCAATTGCGAGGTTGTTAAGCATCATACATTTATTTCCATAGAAAAACACAATACAATACAACAGTAGCTAACGTTTCGGCAGTATCGCCTTCTTCAGAGCCTGGAGGGGTATACTGATATACAATTTACTAGGCCAAACGCTTCAATAACACTTACAAAAAGACGAAAAACTCTTTGGTAATTACATGATCAACAGTTTCTCGAAACACCGCTTTTTTACGCGACTTCCAATGAGGAAGTTTAGAACAGCTTATTATAGTCGCATATGGTTGATGACTGCACCATCCCACATCAGAAATTGATGCGAACATACGGAGTCAGGTCGCGTATAACCTCTGGGCATTCATCCCTGCTATTCATTGTGGGGTTTTTGGCATTTATTAGCGATGAAGTAAGCATAGCTATAAAACAGTGCCTAAAAAGGGAAGGTCTGGAGGAATCAGCAGCGATAGTTGAAATACCATCAGATACTGTATGTCGTTAGTTAGTTCGTAACCGCTTGTATGACCGTCTTTGAGAAACACCAAATTGCCTAATTTGCCCTTACGGCAAAGACGATGATTGCATGAGTTCAGGTACAATATACCTAATTTCTTGTAATAGTTGCAGAAGTGAATATATTGGCGAAACGGACAGACCTTTATGTAACCGTATGAAATAACGCCTAGATGGCGAACGAAAACTAAGACAAAGTACCCCACTTGGCACCCATAGGGTACGAAAGCAAAGTGGAGACTATTTTGATGTAAAAGTCAATATCATCACACGGGAGAGTAAAACACCAACGGGTAAACTTCTTGAGGCTCTTTGGATAAATACCAAGAACCCTGCAATGAATAGCAGGGATGAATGTTCGGAGGCCACGCGCGAGACCTGGCCCCGTGTGTTCGCATCAATTTCTGATGTGGGGTGGTGCAGTCATCAACGATATGTGACTATAATCAACTGTTCTAATCTTCCTCATTGAAAGTCACATAGAAAAAAAGCGGTGATTTTTTCGAGAGGCTGTTGATAGTGTAATTACCATAGAAGGAAGTCACGGAAAAAAAGCGGTGATAGGCTCCGAAGAAGGCCATACTGCCGAAACGTCAGTTACTGGTGTATTGAATTGTGTGTTTTTCTATGGGAGTAAATGTAAGCTGTATAACAACCTCGCGTTATTGTATTCTAACCAAAATGCTGAAATAAGAAAGTTATCTCTATTAAAAGTGTGGTGTTCTTCGTGACCTTTGAGTGAGTGTAGCTCACCACGCAATTCTGTTGCGTGATGAAAGAGAACAGAGCTTACTGGAGTCTCGTTAGTAAGTGATGTAATCTCGTGTTGGATAAAAGCTCAAGTAAGACTGCACTGCATGAATAATGCACTTTTTGGTTCTTCGTACAAACCAAGTACTCCGTTAACCTTGCGACACTTCCCGTTAGCTCCATTTTTGCAAAAGGTTTATTGTGGTGAATGATAAACATGCTGCTGAATCAAGGAATTCCCTCAGAGGACAAGTTGTTTGAAAACCTAAAACGTCCATCTTAATAGAAGATGGACCTTTCGTTTAAAAAAAGGCATTTCGCGTAGTTTTTCACCAGTCACTGTCCACACCACTCTCTTCTTCGTGGAGCGATTGCCGACGCCTTCGTTTAACTATAATGGGGGAAAGTTACACCATGTCAAGAAGTGTCTCGTGTTTCTAAAAGCAGTCTTATAAACGAGAGCAGCGATCAGAGCGGATCCTAGTGAAAGCAAAGCAACCTTCAAAATTACGATCATTGAGATCAACTGGTATGTTTATTATCAGTTTCAATCTCCACACGTGTTCGAAGTATTCTCCTATGTTTTACCTTTCGTGAAATTTGAGAAAAACCTAGTAATTAAACGTAGCTAGTCCTTCCTGCAGTAAAGGAATACAGTTTTCCATCGACCACTTATTGTTCCTTAAAAAGAGATATTCGATAAGGCGAAACTATCTTGTGTAAGTTCTTCATAGCACCATGGCAGAGGACAATGAAGTCGCTCGACTGGGACGAGAGGGCCATATGGCTAGTATAAAATTCCTTTAAAAGTTTTGTTTTGCTGGTAACATCGAAATCTTTTCAAGTAGCACCAATGAAGCAGAGGCGATGCTCAATGGGATTAATGAAGCCGAAAACAACCTTGGAGTGCCCGTAAATATGATGAAGCACCAAAGTCATGAAAATTCTACGGTGAGAAGTTGAACAGTTCAAAATGGATGGCTCTGTGATTACAAACAACACCTCAAAAGTAAGTGCACCTTTGTCTTAAATAAACATAAAAAACAACATGAAAAACGAATTAGACAAGAGAAGAAGAGCAGCATATGCACATTACACCCACTGAAAGAAGCCACCGACCAACTAACGGACCCAGAACTCAGCGCTTACTTCTTCGATTCAGCGGTCCTCCCAGCGCACTGTTATGCAGCAGAAACGTAGGCTGATATTTCAACCACGTCAAGATATCTCCGCACCTCCCTTAGAGCACTTGAACGATGAATTTTGAAATTTAACCGACACTCAAAACATCTAGTCGGAATGCCCAGCCCGGATCATAGATACATATCTCATCTTCGGAATCGAGGAAAAAATCCATCATTAGCGAAACACACATAGACCGGAAACATATTAAGAAAAACAAGCGACAAGCGAACAAAGAGAACAGCGGAATTACTTCAAGAGAATGCAAGCGTTATCTTGGAGGACCACCCAAACGATGGACGAACGTGTTCGTGGCTTACCGTCGACCATCTGGAAGCTCAGATAGACGCGATTTGAGACATCCGAGCCTCGTGTCTACACTCGGTTTCGAACGTCACTATTATCTTCAATGAAAATTGCATTAGAAATAAGATGAACCAAGAGCTTTTACGGAGGAGAGCCTTCACAGAAAACGCGATTAGTGCATCGTCTTACTAAAAACATGTGCGTACACAATTAGACTAAGAGGGTTACAAACAACGGAGTAATTATCTGAATATCTGGTGCACTATTATGGAAGGAAGAACTAAGCCCTTGTTTTCCTGATAAATAATTTTTTGATAAAGTGTGATAGAGATAATAATAGAAAATTGACTTTTATGGTTAAAAGGTTTCCTTAGCGATCACTGTAGCGACATAACGGTTTTCCATACAACTTACCGTATCGTTTTAAATCCGCAAAACCTTTCGAGAGTGTACAGACAGCAAAGTAATTCGGTGTACCGTGTTCCAAACTAGAGTAAAACGTTCTTCACTTTATTTCCAGAAAAATAAGAGAGCTTAATGTTAAACCTTTCTTCAATATGATTTTTCAAAACAGAATGAAATTTGTCCACTAAGATTTGGCTCACAGTCCCCCCAGCAAAAATGTGAGGTGCAAGTAGATGTGTAGAGTCTAGAATATTTCAAAATAATAAAACACAAGGAAAATAAAAAAAACTGCAAAAGGACGAAACAGAAAAGGTTTTAGAAGTAACTCGTCGTATTAGAAGTGCGCCGAGACCAGTGGGATGGCCGAACATTTTATAGAACGAGAAGGCCACAAAATGTGGTCGAACTTCAGACAGTGACAGAGGTGACGTCGATACCAAGGAGGATGCATCAAGGCATACCGACCACCCTAAAAGTATACGCAAACTACTCTAAAGCTTTTTGTTTTAGCGACGTTTTATAAGCATAAGCAAAGGTGGTGGTGGGAAAGCATCACCTTTTCTCTCTAGTTCTCCAATTAAACTGAGATCGTATTTCTTCCCACAAAAATTACTCATTGCCGTCATAACAAAGAGACTACCGCTAACAGCTATTGGTAGGTCTTCACAGAGATTAACACATAAAATACTGTCTGCCTAAAAACTTCGACTTCATGTCCATCCACACACTAATTTTCGACAACATCGTAGATATTTTGTAGTAGTCAAATCAGAAAAAAACAGAGGAAATGTAGCAAATTTAATTAAAGTGTCGTTCTAGGAAGCCCCTTGCAGAAATCCCACCACGAAAAGTACCGAATGTACCAATGCTGCTACAAAATAGAAAAACCTGACAAGATTGTACAATATTTGTTTCAGTTCCAGAACGAATGCCATTTTTTCTTTTCCAATATCCTCAAAAAAAGATCTTCGTATT